AAAAAAAAAAAAAAAAAAGCAAGGTGGCAGAAATCAATAAAGGTGGAGAATATGTGAAGAACATGCAGAGGGGACAGAGATAGGACACAGCCAGGCAGTCTAGCTCGAGAGTCCTTGATTTTAGTGTTCAGACCATGCTAGTTTCCCATAGTAATTCAGAACGGATAAATGAACTCCTCAAGAATTGACTGTCTTAATACATCAAGGACTGATTCTTCCTTTACTTTTTGAAATTAAAATTTATTTTTAAACTAAGACACAAATTATTCATACTTATAGGTACCATGTGATGTTTCAGTACATGCATATGTCATGTAATGTTAAATCTGGATAAACATATCTCTCTCTGCAGGCTTTTATCCTTTTTATGGTGAAAACATTCAAACTCCTTTCTTCTGGTTTTTTGACATATCGAGTAAAATATTATGGTCTTTATTCACCCAACTCTGCAATAGCATGCCAGAGCCATTTACTCCTGGCTACAACTTTGTGCCTTTTCATCAACCTTGCCATACCTTTCCCTTCTCCATATTCTCCCTGGACTCTGGTAATCACTACACTACTCTCAACTTCTATGAGACAAACATTTGTTACATTCTGCTCATGAGTGATCTAATCTGGTACTTGTTTTTTAATGCCTAGATTATTTCATTTGGCATAATGATCTCCATTTCCATCTATGTTGTTACCAATGATATAATTCCATGCTTTGCATGGCTGTGTATATGTACCCTTTTTTAAATTCACACATCAGTTGATGGACATTTAGTTTGTTTCCATTTCTTGGCTATTGTGAATAATGTTACAACAAACATGGAAGTGTATATGCTTTGTGGGCATGTTACATTTATTTCCTTTGGCTAATCAGCGATGAGACTGCTGGAACTAATGATAGTTCTTTTATTAATTTTGAGTAACTTCATACTGTTTTCCAAGTGGCTGTACTAATTTACATTCCCACCAATAGCATGCAAGTATTCTCTTTGCTCCACATCCTCACCAGCACTTATTTGTATTTTTGATAATGATACATTATGGTGATACGGACTTGTATTTCTCTGATGATTAGTGATGCTGAGTATTTTCCACATACCTGTTGGCTATTTGTCTTGCTTCTTTTGAGAAATTCACATTCAGGTCTATTACACATTTAGAATTGGGTTCTCTGGGGCTTTCTGCAATTAGTTTTTTAGAATTCCTTATAGATTATGGATATTAATCTATTGCAAGATGTATGTTTGCAATTTCTTGGGCTTAGTTTTTTCGTTTTATTGTGTTGTTTGTTTCATTGTGCAGAAGCTTCTTAGTTTGATGTAATCCTATTTGTCTATTTCAGTTTTTGTTTCCTGAGTTTTTGAGATCTTGTCCAAAATTTTTTTGCCTATTTTAATGTTTTGAAATATTTCATCTTCGTTTAATTCTAGTGGTTTTGTAGGTTCAGATCTCACATTTAAGTCTTTAATCCATTTTGAATTGACTTTTGTTACTAGTCATAGAAGGCTCATTTTACTCTTCTGCATGTAAGTATCCAATTTTCACAACAACACTTGTTGAAAAGACTGTCTTTTCTTTAATGCCTGCTATTAGCATTTTTGTTAAAAAAAAAATCAGTTCGAGGTAGATGTGTAGGTTTGCTTTTGGCCCATCCATTCTGTTCCATTTGTCTGTTTTTATGTTCATAGCAAACTGGTTTTTATTACTACAGCTTTGTAATATATTTTGGGTAATCTATTGTCTTTGTCTTGTTCTGTTTGTTCAAGATGGCTTTGGCTATTTGGGTTTTTTCCCTTTTTGTATTTCCATACAAAATTTAGGGTTGTTTATTCTAGTTCTCAAAAGAACATTATTGGTATTCTGAAAGAGATCAAATTAAACCTGTATATTGCTTTGGGTAAGTATGGATATTTTCATATCATTGATTCATTAAATCCATGAATATGGGATATTTTTCTTAGGGTAAAGGCTTGAAGGAAATGGCTTTAATGCAGGAGCTTGAAAAACAGGTAAGATCATCTTGCTAGGCCATCATTCCACTCAGCACAGGAAAAGGTGTTGTAATATGTAAATGCTGAAGTTGACCTATGTGGTCTCAGGCTTGGCTAGACTCTGGATGAGTTGTCTTCCTGGATGAAACACTCTGATGCAAGAAGCAATTCATAAACCTTGTAGCACTGCTCTTTCACCGGGTCTTGTGCTTCATCAGTTTTTTGTGCTTTTAAGGGTCTTCAGCCTTCACTTCTAAAACATAGGTGTTTATCAGTGGTGTTGATATGGTTGAGCATAGGGCCACATGGTTTAATTAATGCATACTACATGGGAAATTTGAATCTGAAATTGCTGCTAATTAGCCCTAGTCATTTAAATCTTAGCCTCAGCTTCATCGCCTTTCAAGTGGGTCCACAGTGGTTTGTGAATTTTGAAGAAGGTTATGTGTTTCCTAGTCAACATTTACTTAGTGCAGATGCGTACCTGGCTGTTTCCAGATTAATACCATCATTAACTTCCTTCCTTACTATAAACAAACAAACAAAAAAAATAGCAAGGAAGAAACCCAAGACTTAGGTGTGCAGGAAAGAGAAATGGCTGAAAATCACCTCAACTATGTATATTTTTAAGATTCTGCTGAAAAGTTCCTCCAAGTGCTAATCTTCCAGGGTACTTCAGAATTCATTCTAACTTTACATATTTCATCTTGGAGCAGAAGAGTAGTAAAATGGAATGTATAACTCTTCCCATCTTTGAAAGTAGCTTAAGGGTTAATTCACTGACTGGTGATTCAAAAATTACACCTGAATTATTTCACAGTCATTTTCCTAAAGAGGCTGGTGGAACTCCTAGAAGCAGTGTTTTTACAGGTGCTTTAGTCCTTCAGCCCCCAAGAGATCACTCAAGAAGAATAAAACTTTAGCTGATGATATGAGAACCGGAGGATAATATAATAAGAAGTGTTAAATGACTGCAGCAAATCCAGAATTTGCTGTTTCCTAACAGCAATTCCTTCTTTTTTGTTGACAAAAAAGAAGTCATGAGATTCTCTGTAGCCATTTAAGATCAAGGAGATCCTGAATAGGTCAGATACTTCCAAAGTTTTGGGGACCACATTTTTAATTAAATAAGTACAAGAGAGATAATGTCTCCCACAGGAGCTGTTGTTCATGATTAAATGATTCAATAGTTACTCATTCTTAGTATCTATATGTCATAGTGTCTTGATCTGTATAATATGAACAAAAATTGCATCTATTTCAAAAAGTTATTATAAAGATTCAATGAGAAAATTAATTTGAGTGTCTTAGAATGGTGCCTGGAATACAGTAAGCACTCAGTAAGTTAGCTATTCTCTATCTTATTAATTGCTTTCTTCCAGCAAACTTGCAGCATCTACTATGTGGTACTATGATAAGTCATAGTGTATCAGGCTTATTGTTGCAAACAACAGGATCTATTCTAGCTAATTTATGTGGAAGTGGAATTAGTCAGAAAGGATATTTGGTAGGTTAGAGCATCTCTAGGAGGGCAGCTGTTGGCCAAGATCAATGGCCAAAGAGTCAGTTTCTACCTTAGGGTTTCTCCTGGGGACCTTCTGCTGCTGCCACCAGTAAGAGGCTCCTCAGTCTGCAGTCAGAGGAAAGTTTTATCTCCAACTTGTTGGAATGGATCCCTTATGCCCCCCCACTTCTCCTGGTCCGTGCATCTGAACTGAATTCATTCATGAGTTCAACCGGTTGGAAGAGGTCATATGTCTTACTGATCTAGGTGCACAAGAATCTTGTAAAAGCAGTTTCAGGATTTTAACTTTGTAAGAGCCCTCAAAAGTGTTGATAAATATGCACTGTTTATCCTCCAGAAGCTCAGTGCAGTGACAAGAATGGGATATAAATCAATCAATACTACAGAAGTACTATGATCCAGCAAATATTTAGTACTATTATCCAGCAAATATTTACTTTCACTTCTCTATAGGGTGATCTGCTTGACATTAGAAAAGATAACATGATTGTTTTAGTCTGTGGAATTATGAATGGAAATGATGACTTGTTAGATATAAGCAGAAAGGTGCTTCAGATTTTCTCTTGTGCCTTCACTCTCTACTACAGAAACTTCACATTTATTATATGAAAATGGGATTCTCCATCAACCTGGATTGTTGAATTAAGGAGGCATGTGGGTCAGATCCTATCTCAATAACATTGAACCTATAGCTGCAATGCAAGCAAGAAATGCTTATTTGTGTTTGTAAGTCTTTGACTTTGAACTTGGTTTATTAGGCAGCATTACTGTGGACGAAGCTAACTGATACAAAGAAATAATGGCAGATATAGGCACACACAATTTTGGCAGAAACCTAGGGTAGTAAGTAAGTAATTTGGCTTCTGTGGGGAGGACATCACAAAGCAGGCAGACATTAAGAAAATATCTGGAAGTATTTAGAATTTGCCTAGGTAGCAGGGAAAGTAATTTCAGGATAAAATACCCATATGTAAATGCTCAGCAAATTGAAATAATAAAGCACATGTTGGGAAATTCAATGACGTAACCCCACTATTTCCCAATGTGGCAATTTAAGTGTTATCTCTGAAAAAAGCTGTACTATTTTTCTTACTATTATTATTTAAATTAATTTACTTCCTCATATTTCCATGTTTCTAAATATTGTTATAAATACATTTATAAATCTCAAGCTTGATATCTTAATTCTTTTTGTAATGCATTAAAATTAAATGTTTAGCCATTAAAAGTTTTAAAGAATAGTTTTCCGTTTGCCACCAATTTTGTATGCTTTGTGCTGTCCCTGACATTACTGCCCACTTCTGAAATATCCCTTCTTCCCTGCTTTATAGCTAATAGAACCACGATACATTAGTGGAAGCACCAGGCTCACTTCTCCTGACTCCTCTGAAGTCACTTCCTGGGTGTCTGTAGGAACGAATTCTGGCCAATGAAATGTAAGTCCACTGGGTGGTGCTTTGGGGAAGGCTATTGTTTTTCTGAAGAAAAACATGTAGCTGGCAGGCACTGTTTGCTTTTTATTACCCTATTCCCTCTCCATCATTTTCTGGAGCATAGATTCAGTGTCTGGATGTGTAGCAGTCGCCTTGAACTTGTAGGCATGAAAGACATATGTGAAGGATGGCAGAGAACAAAGCTGGTCCTTTCTTTGGAAGCTGCTATGACCCAGGGTCTGTCTTTGTTTGTGCCAGAATAAGTGCTGCCTCTTACATGCAGCCAAAACAGTCTTTGCTGGTACATGTGTTCTAGCAAACCATGGGTAGAGCCCAGGGCGCAGGTCTGGGAGGCCAGGAAACCATTCCCAAAAGGCAGGAAAGCATCACATCTCAAAGAGCCTTGGGAAGCAGGCAGACAGGTACAGGGTTTTACCAAATACAACAACATGAAGCTCTTTAGAAGTCAGAGCTTCTCAGATTTAGGACCAAGTATAATCATCTAGACACTTTTAGTCCTTCTTGCATTAACACAGAACTCATCTGGGAGCCACATCTTCTTTTTAGATCAAACCACTGTAACTACCAGCTGTTAAAATCACAAAAGGCCTAGGCTTCAGTCATAGACACCTACATTAGTTTTGTAGAGCAGCCATAAATCTGGTTTTACTCCCTAGTGTCTGACCCAAGATTTTCTAAGACCCTTGGGATCTCTGAAGTGATGATTGCTTTTGGATGCTAACACGAACACTGGTGGTTGGGGTCTCCAGACAGCAGCAGAGTGGAACGTGGTCATCAGGCCTGTTGAGCAAATTAGAAACTCAGCTTCATCCCTGACTTCCTGGGAAAGGAGAGGGATTGGAGATTAAATTAATCACCAGTGGCCAGTGATTTGGTCATTTACACCTTCCTAATGAAATCTTCATAGAAATTCTGAATGATGGAACTTAGAGCTTCTGGGTTGGTGAACATATCCTTTCACTGGGAGGATGGTGTACCCCAAATTTCATGGGGATAGAAATCCCTGTTCTTGGGATCCTTCTGCTTCTTACCCTATGTCCCCCTTTCTCTGACAATTCTCTTGGATCCTTTACAATTTTTTTATAATAAACTCATAGTAAGTAAAATGTTTTCCTGAATTCTGTGAGCCATTGCTGCAAATTTTCATACATAAGGGGTAATTCTGGGAGCCCCTGATTTGTATCCAAGTTGAACAGAAATATAGGTAAACTTGGGAATCCATTAGTTATACTTGGCGTCTGAAGTGAGAATTGACTTGTGAAACTGAGCAGCCCTCAACCTGTGAGATCTGTGTCAACTCTGGGTCGTTGCTGTCAGAATTGAGTTCCATGTAGGACACACCCAATTGGCGTCTCTAGGGGACTGGAGAATTTCCAATGTAGGCAGCCCACACATTTTGTGTCAGATGAGTTGTGACTAGGGAGACCATTTTCCTCCGGCTTTATTCCCAGATAAGGTTGCATTCACAGGTGCTGGGAGTTAGAACTTCTACATCTTTATGGAGGACACGATTCAGCCCCTACAATGCTCACCTCTTCTAGAGCTGTTAATATCAGATGCTAGGCACTGGTATGGATTCGAAAGCAAGTGCTGTGAGAGGGCAAAACATTGCAAAGAACATGTGCTGGTACACTGATGGAAGAGAGTACAATAGCCTGAAGAAGCGGAGAGGTGGAGAAGAGAGGCACTGGGCCTGTCCCTTACTGGCTGGGGTCTGGGAAACTATGTCTCTACCTTGGTTTCAGTTCTCAGAGCAGTATAATAGTCTTGACTGGTCTTGTGAAAAGTGCCAGAGTCAAAATACAGTCACTTGTGTCAATCTGCGAGAATGAGAGTTACAGATACACACACACACACACACACACACACACACACACACACACA